TGGCCCAAAGCAATAAAATAGTGAAAGACAGTCAAAGATTTTTAATTTATTTTGCTATCAGGCCTCTACTGACATGTAAAAATGTGTAATAGTTGACCTCTGAACGTTGTTTTCTGCATTTTGAGGGGCAATTTTGCTACCCAACTAACATCTCTGGGTGTAAAAATACACATTCATGGGTTTTAGCTTTAGATTTTAGAGGGGGCGTGGGCCGTTATTTACATGTCCGGTCATGATCAAGATCGAACGCACGAGCCTTACGTCTGTATGTTGTATACGAACCGGGGGTTTTGAGCACCGGCGTGCCGGATCAAACGCACAATTGGTGATGTTCAGAGCTTTGCGGAACCTGGGTCCTTGTATGGCGGACCACTCACCGCTACGAGACCCTACTGTTCAACAGTCTACTGATTAACTTGATCTCAGTTCACGAATACATATGCAACTAGAGTTCCACGATCTCATACCTTCGCCAAATGATGTTAGCTTTTATGATTAAGAAATTATATATTAATCCCCCTAATTATGCAAATAGGATCCTCAATTGCATGAATTATATCTGTTGATCTTTTCTCCACCAAAAGACAGTCTTATCTTAACAAAGAATGCCATGATGACATTTCTCATAAATTATGCAAATGAGGTCCTTATTTGAATAAGTTATGTTTAATTATGTTCACCTTAACTTAACTTTCAAACACCCCAAGTATAAAATTCCAGGCAGTTACCACTATGCAATTATAATATTTTCTCATTAATTATGCAAATTAAGTCTTCATTTGCATAATTGATATCTGCCTGTGTTTCTCTCATTCTTAATAACATATGTCACAAGCTTGAACTTCCTAGTATGGAATGCAGCTGATAAATAGAATTTCCTCATTAATTATGCAAATTACATCCATATTTGCATAATTGTAATATCATTATGTCAAGCATCACTCAAGCTACCTACATACCAAAAATCACGATGATCCATCAATCGGTTCTTGAGTTATCCCCCTTTAAACATTTGTCCATTAACCCCCCCTGCAGTTCTAGAGCAAGCAACTAGGGGGCAAAAAATTATGTGACTTCATCCCCAGCACAAGAGCTATCTACCATCCAAATTTCGTCACCCTAGCATGTCTGGATCATGAGATATCAAAACCGGAAGTTCTGCTGCAGTACCATGACAAGCCGCCAGGTAGCCCAAAATCTAATCATTTTGAGGTCTCATCAAGACCTACCGACCTACCAAATATCAAGACAATCCATCAAGACCTACTCAAGTTATCGTGTTTACAGACAGACACACACACGAACGCCCCTGAAAACATAACCTTCTTGGCGAAGGTAACAATTACAAAATGAGGCGTAGACGTATTCCGACAGCGTACAGCTAACAACGTACGAATATGATCGTACTGTCAACAAAGCCTTACATATGGCATGTAGCTAGCGCCTTTATGTCACGTCGGCTGCCTTTCAAGTTTGTACGTACCGCCCTGCCCTGTGACGCCCGAACACTAGATTGGGTCGTCATCTCTCTCGCATCGGGCGCGTGTCAAGACTGTTAATGTTTAAGACAGAAATTATCTTAATCGCCTCCGCCGCAAACTTCCGCTGATTTTCTTAAGATCCATGCTCCGGTAACTCTCCAACTCCCCCCCCCCCGGAAATATCGTACAGTCCCTAAACCACAAACATAAACGTCCAAACATACAAACGCATATCTACTAGGTAACATCTCACTAATTTTATAGAACATGCAGCGGGATCCAATCTAGCAATGCAAAGGTACGCGTCGGATACACTTAAGTGCTTGATGTTTCGCGTCGACAGTCACATTGTTTGCACGTCAGTCTTTCTTGGCGATTAGCAGAGTTGTTCTGCCCGAAAAATAAGCCAAAGCCCAAACCTCCGGATGAAGAGTAACACATGACAATCCAGGTGCCCCAGTCCCGAAGTTTCATCATCGAGTATCGCGTTTCGTGAGCGGCAGACGTCAAAGGGTCTAATGTTACATATGGTGAGCTGATATGGTGGTCGGCCACGTTTCTCAAAAGGATCTTATGTTACATGATTCGTCACGGAGGCGGAGTCAACTGCTACCCTTTGCGTTATTTGGAAGACCAGTTCTGTCCTACCCGAGACATCCCATTCGCTTACTGTGCTGAGGTACTCTCCAAGCAGAGGTTGAATGGGAAGATTGTGACCTTTTTCTATGCCCCGTTTTTTTCTGACAGCCGGCCCATCCATCGGTGGCCAATTTGATACTGTCGGCCGGCTGGATACTGTCCGCGTGTTGGATACTATCTTTTTAGCCACCAAAAGATCTGCTTGGAGATTAGTGCTGAGGCAGGAAAGTAGGTCACTTCCCGCGAAGCTTGACCTCTTCACCCGGTCAATGGCCTCTCACAGGTAATTTTGCTGTGTAAGGGAACTCAAAACGCGTAGGTTTTCTCATCTAAATATTACAATTAGTATAATCAATGACATTATCTATTCACCAATCAATGGTTCCTAGTGATCAGAACGCCCCTCGCAACAATGTCTAAATGTTGATTGATGTACGTTCCGACTTCAAAAACCAAGACAGCCTCGCTCGGGGTACAGAAGCGAGTTGGAAGAACAATACTGCTGAAATCCTCCCGGCCGGTCCGCTGAGATTCCGGGGCGCAGGGCGCGCTGGGGCACTGGTCAGCGGCCATCGATCACTCACAGCACCGAGGAATTACCGGGGAGGTCGCGGTGGTTACCAGGCTAGCCAACCGACTTTGTCAGCGCGTCCGATGTTTGCTACTTTTAAAGGTAAGTCGTGTACCTTGCGTGAACTGAATCATTTTGTAACAACTTGTTGCGTGCTGCAGATTTAGTGAAATGGAGGCTTAAGGCTTCGGAAAAAGCAGGTAGGAATTCTTTTTTTCTTCTTTGTTTTTACATTCGGTCAAGAATCCAAATACAGTTTAACTATATCAAAATGAAATGTATCAGAACATAATTTTATAATGTTGTTGTTGTACCAGCGCTCATGCTAAATATTGATAAACTGACTGAACAAGTAAGTAAAGAATGTACTATATATTACAGGAAGTCTTCTTTGAATTTCATTCACCACTCAGATGTCCGATTTTTATGTCCCCTACCAACAATCGACACTCTCACCCAAGAAAAGATCGGTAGGCCTTTAGAAGAGTCGGTCTCGGGTTACCGGAAATACCTTGATCCCTTTGTGTTTGGCCTCAATTGTGCATGCATGGCGCTACATTTTACGAATTGGCAACGAATGAAGTATGTTATATACAAATTAAGTGCTTGAAGTAACGGCTATCACGGTCTCCAAATTCATTTACGTTGAAGCTTATTCAGGCTTGTGTTGAGCGGCTGTTGATTAAGTTTGGGGCTGAGGTAGGGAGTCTGATTATAGTATAGTTTGACTTGACTTGACTATTATATTATTAGTACTAGATAATTCGGTCAGGTAGGAATTCGGGTTTCTTCGCCGCCAGCTAGACGTTTTCCCTACGACGCGCACATATAATGTATGTTGTTTGTTTATAAGTGGGGGGGGGGGGTTGACCTACTTATTGACACAGTGAAGCCCACAAAAATGTAAACTGTGGTTTGCGTGCGGTCAAGTTAAATGGGCTTGCTTTCGTTTTCAGCTAGTATATCGTTGTAGTCTTCAATTTTTGCATGGTGTATATGAATTCAGTGTTTTGACCATGGGAAGTTAAGTACAAACTACAAAAGTGACCCGAACATGTTTTGATAATTATTATCGAAAAAAAAAACATGTAATGTGTCTGAAGGCACCGTCAATTTTGGGAATTTTTGTGGTTTATAATTGATTTTCGTCTTTTTGAAACAGCCTACTAATACCGATTTGTTATCTATAGGAGTATATTTTATCAGTCACCGTTTATGGGGTGTTGGTTTCCTATTACAGTTTGCTGTATCAATTATTTTCATCGGTATATTTTCGTCTGTGCCTATAGCCCGCTTTGTGAATTCTATGCTCCAGTGATAAACGAAGCATTGATAATCAGTGACTGATTATTACCCCAACAAGACAGGGGTCGGCATGAGCAGGTCTAAATGAACTGACAGAACTCAACACATTTACATGTGATAAGTGTTTACTCGCGGCTCTTTAAGTTCATTAGTGACGTTGGAGGAGAGTGATAGAAAATGTTCTAAAGGAATCCCCGTATTATAGTCATACTTTATTCTAGTTCGCTCTAGGTATTTTGTTGCTCGACAACATGTACGTGAGGTGATGATGCTGATTCCCTGGTTTAATGAGGTCACTATATCAACATTTCGTAGCCTACGCTATTCCTGTTTTTGTTAGTACTAATCTGTAAACTTCGGGTTCGGGAGAAAGAGTTTGTTACGACGGGTTTATTCTATTGATGGAACCTCAGTACAGTTGGTCACACGAGGCGGCGCTGGGTAAGAGCCGACGAGACCAGAGTTTTCCTTTTTAACTCTACGAACTACGAGGGAAACCCTAAGTTCACTTAAACGCTCGACGTGGCTTTCCGGCTGAAGTTGACTCTAGCCCGCAAAAGTTTAATATTTGGGGGCCCGCATGCCCTTTTCCGTAGAGCGTAATCGGCCGTTTTAATTCTACGTAGAGCGTAGACGGACCGCTCTAATTTAATGTAGAGCGTAATTGGCGCATTTTGCGCAGAGCGTATTCGCTATTTTAATTCTACGTAATGCGTTGTAGCCACTTGTAATTTATCGTAAAGCGTAATCGAGAGGTTTCGGATTTCAGCGTAGAGCGTTGTCAGGGGTTATTTGGCCCGGGGTAGCTTCGGTGGTACGGGTTTCCCGGGTTCTCAGAGTCCGTCGGAGGTTTCTTCTCCTCGATTCGTACACTTTTCTCTCGTTCATTTCCATTCCTCCCGCTACCCACTTTTGACATTGTCAGCATAATATGCAGTGGTCGATTGTTTGAAACGTTGAGATGTCAACTTCAGGTTAGACTTCTTGGTGAATTGAATAACCCTAACGTTGGAATTTTGGTTTATGTAAAGTTTGAGCCACCTGACGCCCAGTTCCGCCGGGTTTTCAACGGCCTTACCCTTAATTCTTTCCGTCAAGGCTCTTCTGTCCAGTAACCCCGGGCGTTGTTTTTTCTTGTCTTTCCAGTAAACCTCAGACATGCAGCGAGGGATACCCTACTGTTCTACACTGAACACCGGTGCCGGCATATAAGGTTATGCCCTGTCCGCGCTAAACTGCCCGCACCTGCCAACGACGCAGGGTTCCGAACTGTGAGACCATCTCAGTGCACGGAGGCAGTTTCAGTACGTCGTATTCTCATCTCTAGGTCAACGCGTACGCCATTTTGATTTTAACAACTTAATACTATTCACACAATTGCAACTTGATGTTATTTCCCCGTATACTGTAAGGTCCAAGTTTCACATCCGCGGTCAAGCTGAACGCTGTCGAACTGTGCGGAATAACGCAACCCTAGAATGCAACAAACTTTGCTAACCTGTTCTACACTGTTTCTTTCAGCTCTACATGACGACAAACACAGCAGTTACTCAATAATACAATCAAGAAGTGGAACAAAATACCAGGTGAGTGCCTAACCATCCTTATTTCATCATCATGCAATATTGTACATAACCACGATGGTTAGGCAATGTTCGCATATCTATAGTACTTCTTTCATGAAAAGCTGTGTGTTTTGAAATACGGTACCATATTTACTATGATGTCATTGCTGGGAAAAAAGTGTAGCCTGGGTGCCAGGTGCCAGGCCCCTGTGCCACGATACTCAATTCAGTCAGGGAAATCTCACGCCTGGAACACAGAATTTGCAGCCGAGGTCTAATTTATACGTCTAGATAAACTGAAGAAGGAAGCCAGCTCCGAAACTGTGGCGTGTTGGGCAGTATAGAGGCCTGGTCAAGAGTCTCAGAAAGAAGAAGCACTTTCTTTATTTTAAGCAAGGAGTTAAGCTCCTTGTTCTAAGTGCTGGGGTCTGGCACGCAGGCTATTCATAATTACCTGGCAGCAAAATCCCATACGGCATGTATACTTCATGATGTCGCAATTTTCATTGCCAGAAAATGTGTTATATATATGTGTCTGCTTCATTGCATTCTGTAAAATTAATCGACTCACATGCTTTGCATATTTACATTCATGACTCTAAATCTTGTTCATTTAAATTAATCAAAGCTGGCCAAAGTTGGCATAGATTCATTTATGCCCTTTTCTCTCTTTATACCCACAGGTAAACTTCGCCATGTCCACCCTGAGATGCAGACTACAGCAGGAGTTCACTGGCTAGCATGAAACCTTAGCATGAAACCTAGTCGTGGAAGGATTGGGGTGTGCATTCATGTTTTGCAGCCAAGAAAATTGAAAACAAGCATGGAATGCAACAGCATCATGAAAGCGAAGAAAATAGCAAAATAAAAAAGCAAGACTGACACAAACATACATGATAGAAAACACACAAGTGAATAAAATTCCTTACACAAAACATCACTGTTACACTACATGTGTCACACAGTAGAGTTATAAAAAACGACCAGCATCATATAGTTGCAACTAAAAACATATTCGAAGTATTATAAGCTTGAATATGCTGCTCCTGAGCAAGAAATTTGTTCTCTCTTGATAGAAGAAAACATATTTGAAATATCAATAAAGACAATCATTAATATTCTGTGTGCAAAAAGCCACAGTTTGCCCGAAAAGGTGCTATTGCATGCATGGTACCATAAGCCTTTCCTGCTTGTTCTGATGACCACAAGGCCGGAGGCTACCTCAAAACCAATTCCCTAGGGAATGCATTCATGCAATTTTTGAAATTCTTTCAAAGCGATCGCAGTACTTACACAAATGCCTCCGCCCCTGAGGCGTCGCCAAAAAAAATCAACAGGAAGAAAATAGGTTATACCAAAGGTTTAATACTATTTTCTGCAATGTAAGTCCTCCCAAACTCATCTGGTAGACACGTAGCTGTAAACATGGGAATATTTGGACGTACTTGTGAGACAGGGCTGGCGGCAATGTTGTACATGTACATGGGTGAAAAATCTTGATGGAAATCAGTGCAAAACACAATTAAAAGCCGTACACTTTTCATTTAAATTATGTTCATTTCTGGTGTAAAATTCATGTAGATGTTTGTTTAATTGCGTGTGGTTAGAAAAGTGTTGTAGATAGCCAGATGAGAATGCAGCTAACTAGTTTTTGCGGCTTTACACTGCTTTTGCACAAATTTTAACTGCATGTTACCAAAAAAATTATGGTTTTAACACGATTTTCAATCAGGATTTAAATGCAATTTATATGACTTTTGCAAGAGATATGAATGGATTAAAACCGTGTCTAAGATGCATGGGAACAGAAGTTAATTGAGATCTGTACTATAGTCAACCAGCCTACTAACCAACTACCGGTAACATCCGTGTCCCTAATATCACCAGGGTCCATAATATCGCCACCTTGAGAAATAGTGTGCTTAAAGATATTTTTGCTGCAACATACCCTAGGTATGTACATTTGATGTGTGCAGGAGTACATACCAAAAGTATGTTGCAGTAAAAATATTTTTAAGCACAATTTTTCTGAAGATGGCGATATTATGGACCCTGGTGATATTATGGACACAGATGTTACATAGCTGGCCAACAGACTAAGTGACTGATGACACTGAAAATTGAAGTAGACAAAAGTAAGTTTTGGTTGAGTCAATATTTGCTGTCAACTGAGTCCTGGTTTGACCCAGGAAAGTTTCCCTCCCATCCATGAATCCTGGTGTGCTGAAATTCGGTGTACAGAAAGTGCGAAATGGAACGAAATGGACGAAATGGAACGAAATGGAACGAAATGGAACAAAATGAAACTAAATACGTTGGAACGGCGACGTTAGTGCGTTTTTGCTATCTATTTCATTTCATTGTGCACATGTAAGGGACATGGCTGGTGATAAAATTCCTCCCCATGGGCATACCGCTAGGGCAGACCGAGACGCACACTTTGACTGCTCACCTCAAAACTCAATTAATTGTTTTTATAACGTACCTTATAACGTTGTGGTCACTTAATTCTTAACGTACCCTGATCCATCTTATAACGTTGTGGTCACTTTATTATTAACGTACCCTGATCCATCTTATAACGTTGCGGTTCTAAGAATACCATCTATCTTAACGTTGCTATTTGGACGTCGAGTGGACACTAGCATCGCCGTTCCCACGCACAAATGGCTTAACGGCTTTCCTTCATACATATTTCGTTTCAATTCGTTCCATTTCGTTCCATTTCGTTCCATTGCGCACTTTCTGGGGTCCCCTGAAATTGATATGCTCCTTGCTGCAGTGCAAACACGCACAAGTCAAGATTTATACACCACCTGGAGAGGTATTGGGACGAATCGATTACTCGGTAAGTGATTTTTGGTGTTCCTTCACTTCCCTCCACCAGAAATCACCCCAGCAGGTTTTATTACTTCTGTCAGATGACAGCAGGTTCACCAGGGCTGCCCCGGGGAAGATGCAATAAAAATTCAAAATGGAAGTTCTCTAAAAAAAACAAACCCCCAAGTCAAGAACTTTATATCATGTGATGCATGTAATACTGTGGTACTTTGAATGAGTTTCTTGAGCCCCTGTACATGTAGTTTAGATACTAAATAATTCTGGACAGAAATAAAACAATGTGGCAGTTTGCCAATCATGGAATTTAGATCTAGATATACATGTAGCTATATATATAGCAGGAAACTCAGAATACTGCTCTGAATGACTTACATGCAATAAAATGACAATCCAGTCCATCATTGAAAAACTAATGGAGAGACGTGACCTGCTACACTAACCTTCTAGTTATGATCTAAAGTGTCCAACCTGGATATTTGGAACTGCTTTTAAGGTTTATTCTTGAGTGAGCGATTCTTGAGTCTGGAATGTGCAGAGTTATGGTTTGTCCAGGGTTTGTCTTTATATTCTTGTCATTGGGGCAGCCTGATAAATGTAAAAGGGCAACATTCATCAGCCACAGAGGCTGCCTATGATATGTAGCATCCCAAGTGTGTTCTCCATTAAAACTGAGGTGCGAAAGGTTGGCATTTGGGAAGAACACTGGAAATAAATGCCAAAGGCCATACCAATTTCTTTTCTTGGTTCAGGAACATTTTCCAAGAACAAGTTAGCAATGTAAACAGAGATGAAGACTTTATTTAATGAAGTGCTTCCTGAAACTGTGTGTACCTGTTACCTGTCTGTACCTGTTACAGACTATTTAAGGTTGATTTTCTAGTTCAACAATGTTTAAGGATCCAAGAACCAAGAACACAAATTGCTGTGGCCAAAGACTCCCCATATCCTAACATACATGTACATGTAGCTTTTTTTTACCTCCGGGGTAGGAGACATCCTTCCGCGGAAGGTTTTTGTGAGAGATTTAGATTTTCATGTTCGCAGCTGTTTCTCGCGTTTGGGTGGACAGATTTTTTGGGGACTCGGTGTATGTTTTGCTATTGGGCTGTAGATGATGCACGTTCTTTTGTTTTGTTGTATATGTGTTTTCGGGCGTGAAAATGGTGCCTTTTGGTGGCCCCAGAACACCCCTTTGAGTGTAAAATAGGTCGCGACCGTTGACCTTTGGCATGTTTAAGCTATTCTCGGTCTGGCCCACGTATATGACCCCTCACACAGAGGGGTGTCCGGTCTCGATAAATTCTTTGTTTAAAACCCTATATAGAAATATACAATAAAAAGCCTGGAGGTATAAAATCTCAGATTTTACTTGTTTACCACTGTTTTAGGATATTTCATGCTTCTCTTGAAGCTAATTAACTACATGTACATCTATTAATGGTGCTTTTACAAAAACTTTGGTTTACCACCTCCAAACTATAAAACAAACTACATTTCCAATTGAGTATATACGTATGTAGTGCAAGTAAATTTCATCACCTCATGCTACATGTAGGTAATTTTGCATGTTGTATGCAACCATGGAGAAAAACTTATTCAAGCCCTATCTTCATTAACATTATTGCATTCTGTTGTTTTCAAGGTCTGAATTTACTTTAAATTGAAATTTATTTTACATTGAAATATGATCATATTTCAGGAGATATAACATTAAGTTTTCTTAGTCCTAAGCTAAATCTAAAATAACAAGGCTGCTTCTGTATGGTGGCGCCCTTCTTATTTGCAGCACTACACTTTCCACAAGTAGCTGTGTGTATTTTTTCCATTTAAATGACTAAATATATTCTACCTTATGCTTGTTCCAAATTAGTGCAAGAGCAATATTTATGGCTCCTCTTGAGTTCACTAAAGTAGAAGTAATGTAAGAGGAAACCACGGCAAACTATCATACTTTCTCCACAATTCCTGTGGTTAAAGTGATGGTGTAGATACCGTCTCAATCCCAAGACAGTTGCTCTTGATTTGCTGTGTGCGTCACCGCTATAATCTAGCCGTGGAAAACCATTTGATTTAATTTGGTTTTGCTCCGCGGGCGACGGATACATTACCATGATTCCGATGTACATAGATTAGGATGCCACACAAGAAGAAGGAATTAAGTTCATATCAGGGAAAAGTAATTGCTGTCAGGGTTTGATGCATGGGGAGACTTACCAACCACTGCAAGATCCACTTCCACCTCAACAAGATTAAGTAAATGAAGCAATTTTTAATTAAATTATTTTTTCCCATTTTGTCAGGTCAGTTTCAGTGTGCTCTTGTCATGTTTAATCTGGTTCTGATGCAGCAGAATCCTTCCGAATATAGTCTGCTGGTAAAATGAATTCAAGAGGAGTTTCTCAAATGACTTCGCATCCATCTACAGAAAGTCAAGGCAAATGTGTTTTAGACCAGCAAGGCACTACAGCATAACATATAAACTACAGTCGATGAGATGTTATTGCTTCAATTACCAGTGAAGGATACATGATAGTCATTAAAACAGCCAACTACGTGACTGTAAAGTATTGTCAGGTAGTTTTCAGGATGGTGCAAGCAAGAGTAGAATCTGAAATGTGTTAGATACATGTAGGTAATTTGAAATAGACTGAATGTACAGTCATTGAAACTGAAATATTGCCACTACTATAGCAAGAAAACCTACTTACGAATAAGTCTGTTTTAAGTTTGGTACATTGTAAGACAACTGCACAACTGAAGCAGGTAGCAGACAAAGTATTGACATGTTTTCAGAGGAAGATGTACATGTACATGTACAAAGGTGTACAGTTGTGAAAGGATTAACTTAAGAGTTGACTGTAACCTTTTCAAAATGTCAACCCAGAGAACAGATTGTAAGGTTTAAAACCACTCTCACACTGGGATTCATCCCTTGTTTCTTGATGTCCCTCAGATAGGACGTTAAATGGAGGTCCCATGTTTGGGAGAACCCCATGCATGTTAAAGAACCCACCACACTTATCGAAAAGAGTAGGGGACCTTCCTGGTGTGAGTGGTTCAAACCTTACAGTCATATGGCCACACCTGGGGTTGTATTAAAGGTCACCTTGCGATTAAGCCCCAAATAATTACTAAGCTCCTCACAGTTCAGCCCTTGGCTGTCCCACCCAATACAATACAATGAGATAAAAAAGAAAAAGAAGAGATTGAAATCAAAGGCTGATAGTTCCAAATTCAAGTAGCACCTAAAATCCCCTGATAACATGCCCCCTAGGTCCGCAGATAGAAGTAAACATCGACTTTTCACCAATGGGTCAAAGGTTCATTTGCATTAGGCCACACCAAGTAAATTTTATGGATGACGTCCGCGCGCGCATTGATTTTGGCCTGTTCCTAGGAAAAAAACCCAAGAATTTCCGCTTCCTGTAACTATGAACAAAGTCACGACAGTGCCGCAAATCGTCAGATTGACGTGAAATCCGTAACGCGAAAACATGACGACAACTGCTGTTTCACCTGATTTATTGCTGTTTTGATGATGAATAAAAGATTTCTTGCTTGTTACACTGTGTCACCTCATTCAATTTGTGTCCTAACATTTGTCGTCTCATAGTATATTTCTAATCTAGGCATCTTGTTTTTTAGGGCCCTTCTTGTTTTTTTCTCGCCCTCTCGCATTAGATTTAGGGTCTCCAAAGGACGTCATCCATAAAATTTACTTGGTGTGGCCTTATATTGAAAAGGCCTGCTTTTCCATATAAGCTGATGCTACCAAAATAAACAAGTCATTAATCTCTGGCAGTGTCAGTATTGATTTTGGGCTGTAGTGAATGGTGTGTTAGCTATCAGTGGGATATCAGCAAGCAGCTGTCCATGGTGCTGAACATGCTGCTGCTGTTACTGGTTCTAAAACTGTCCATACAAGAAGACAAGATGGAATGACATGAGTAGAATATACCGGCAGGACAATTCCATGCTGCCTCAACACACATTCAGACATACGGTACAGACATGCTTGCCATTTTCACACCATGAAAAGCCCCAGATGTATTGTGCAAGCACGTCTAACCCTCGGAAGACGGGGAACAACAGGCGATAAACCGGACAGTGAGTGTGTGAGTGTGTGAGTGAACACCTTACCTGGTGCATATGTTTGTTTACATATAAATGGCTTGAATCTTAACATATACAGAATCTGATACACATACATGAATATGACTGTCTTAAAATATCATCATCATAATGTCTTGCCTCATGAGGCACACCGGTTGAGAGTCTGCACAGTCGGTCAAATTGCTCACAGAAAGGGGCAAGCATTCATTAGTGGGTCAGTACATGAGGCAATGAGTTGGATGAACTGGGCACATATTGTGCCATGGCTGGAGAATACAGATCATCATAAGCATTTGAAGTGACACACACTGGATATTGCTGCTAAGCTTCATCTAATATATAACACCAATGTATATTCATTATGAGCGAAACGACAAGGATTTTTGAGAGAAGACATTTCTTGGGTTGCATGAGTTTTGGGGTTGGCCAAACAAGGACATTCTACTCCTTGATGTAAACAGTACTTCATATGAGAGCTACAATATACTTGCAAACATCCTTTTTCATAAAGGAAAGTGTTTTATTTTCTGGTCATATTTTCTTGCCATTCAGCATTTTGACTTCAATTAGACTGCTAAGAGTTATCTTAATTTTGCTTCATTCACACTTCTTACTAAAGAATTACTGTTGTCATTCACTTGACTTCAATCCTGCATTGACTTCCAGAATTAATCATCCTTACCTCCTAAAACATACTCTAATATCTAAAAAAATTACCCTTAGGCCACACCAATTTAATTTCTTGGTTAACAGATTCGCCCGCTTCATTTTTTCATCTTTCAATGCAATGGTATCATTAAAAGTTCAAAATTCATTGTTTAAATTTTGAACCAGCCTGGTGTGTTGACTTCATGGCTCCTATTGTACCATTTTGGGCCATAATAGGATGCCTAGGCCTGTTTTATTTTAATTTTTTTTCGCCCGCCCGCTCCATTATTTTTCTAGAAAAATCCGTTAACCAAGAAATTTAATTGGTGTGGCCTTAGCAGACTGAAAACAAACATCCTGACTGACTCAGTGCTCCTTCAGATCTCTCGAAATATTATTAAGGTCTCTTCAGTCTATCATGATGGCATTAAAAGCTCACTATTTTGCAGAACAGTTTTCTGTTTCAAATTTTAAAATTTTCTTCTTACTACAGAATAGGCCAAAGAACAAACTCTTATCAAATTGCAGATGAAATTGTTCATATTACATTGTAATATGAGGTTACCCTCACATAAGCACGCCCAAGCCAGCTATGGGAGGAGTACATTACATTACAATATTGATGCTTTAATATCGCTAATGCACATAACATAAATAAAGTATGCTGGTATGTATGTCAGAATGAGGCTTATATTGCTTCTGCATCTTCATTGCAGGTAATCCTGGACACAGAATCCTGCTGCAATAATTCATCAGTCCTGTCATAAGGTTCCGTTGGTCGCCATGGTTACTGGATAAGGTGAGGAATCGAGAGGACCTTGTCTGAAGTATTGGGTGCAGAAGTCAAGACGTGAGACAGGGTACCATATAAGGGCTACCCCTTCCAATTAAGGTCAGACACAAAATCTGACAGAAAACACATCCACGTCCGTCGTATCTCTACCCAGGCAGATGTCACAGCAATCTGTTACCATGGAAATGAGCTAGTTTCCTGAGAGAGGACAACCTGATAGCAGGGAAGAGCATTCTGTGGAGCATCAGGCATGCCGGGGTTGGCAGGAGTGTTCCACCAAGTGATGCAGCATTAACGCAATTTCCTTATGGAAGTGAAGAACCTCTGCTGGAAACTACAAGGCAAGTCTCATATTCTGTCAGCAAGACCTTAAGGAGTCCTGGCAAGAAAGCTGTTGGAACTGCTGGAATGTACCCAATGAAATGCATTGCAGCTAGGTTGACTTGTACATAGAGGAACCCAGCCTTTGGATTTAACCATATTGGCAGGAGACCACAGAGGCAAGGTGAGTCATTCCTTTACATACATTGTATTTTGTCAGAATTCTAAGAGAACTCCAAGGCTTATTTTCTAAGGTCGATTTACTAAACAGAACACCACAAATGGCATGGCTGTGTATATATACATATGTACATGTATATAGAACCTGTTTCATGCATCCTCATATATTCTTTTCTGTGACTGTGAATGTGAATATTCTGCAACTTAACATGATGTCTTGGTTGGGCCACACCAATTTAATTTCTTGGTTAACGGATTTTTCTAGAAAAATAATGGAGCGGGCGGGCAAAATAAAAATAAAAACAGGCCTAGGCATCCTACATGTATTATGGCCCAAAATGGTACGATAGGAGCCATGAAGTCAACACACCAGGCTGGTTCAAAATTTAAACATTGAATTTTTAACTTTTAATCATACCATTGCATTGAAAGATGAAATAACTGTAACAACTAGGATGAAAAGGACTGTTTTCAACTGTTCAGGGCAAAATATGAGCATTTTGCAGTTGATTCTGAATTTTTATTTTTATTTGCAAATCAGAAAAAAATGAAGAGGGCGAATCCGTTAACCAAGAAATTACATTGGTGTGGCCTTGTCGTAGTTTACTAAAATAGACATGGAATCAATATAACCTGATTCAAGGTAACAAATCACAGAAACTATTTTATTAAAAGTTTATTAAACCTTTTTATTTATAAGAAGTCTTAAGCAAAATAAATGTATTCAAATATATCTACAACGCAATGAAAATGTCACTTTTATTGCCAACCATACAATCTGACTTCACATAATCTGACTTCATATAATCTGACTTCATACAATCTGCCCAGGGTACAAATGTAGGTTCTAGTGCACACCACCCAGTTTCCTCTGGATCTCCTGATTTCCCCAAGTCAATATCGGAACTCCCGTTTCCTCAGTCGACCAGTAATTAGAACTCAATGTCAAGATTGTACGATTCTAGTAGAATTTTCCGCAGTACAAGGCACTGCGCCGCGAACTACAGCGTTTAACCAGAACGTACAGCGTTTAACCAGAATGATTCGCATCCGCACGTTCATGATTACAATTCTACTAATGCGAATCGTTCTATATCGTTTCAGACCACCTCGCGAGGTGGTTCAAAATAAATCGCAACGGGACCGGTTTGTAGCGTTCATGTTCCCAAATGAATCGATTAATTTTTTAAAATCGAATCAATTCACAATAGATATCCAATCATGAATGGGGCCTGAGACCATCACCAAGGGGACTAAGGAAAAGTGGTGCTCTTAGACAAGTCTTTTTATACAAAAAGCATGGCAACAATACATACACAGAGAACAACAAAAAACGCAGCAAAATTTCCACCTATTTAGACTGCTCCATAGACCCAACGTAACCCAACTGGTGCCATTTTACACTGTGCAAAGACTGTCATGTTGTCAAAGTCAATGACAAACTGGCTGATATCATCAAGATTTCTCGCTAGTTACCATTAAAGAACATTTTCTGCCACAACCTTCAAAATAACGAGGTTATTAAAGGCAGAGATTGGGCCACGTGCAGTCCCAAATACTAGTAGTGCCACTTGCTGTCATGTAGGACAAGTGGTCAGCTTAGGCAAGTCCCTTAAATGCTTACGAAAAAGCAGTCGTTATACGTTATGGCCAGTGGCCGGCTTATAAAGGTGATCACTAGGGCAAGTTTTACTGTATCTTGCTTTTTATACTCTTGATTCGCTCGCTGTTTCTTCTCTACAGTAAGAGGGAGACAAAGGGAGAGGTGAAAAAAGTGGATTTTGAGTAGACTTTAATGTTACTCAGGCCAAAACAATGTAGTTTTTTCCAAATCTGGCAGTACAGTATAGTCCTAAAGATGTACCTAGAGGATATTTCACAGCCTTTTCAGGACTCCGAGGGAAAATAGGGGAAATGTTGAAATGTTGCAATAAAACGTATGAGTTGATACATTTTGGGGCAACACTTCTTATTTCTAAAAATCTAACTGTTATATGTCCTTTTTTAGGGGTGGCTAGTCTTGTCTTCATTGAATTTGCAGTCTTGCATCAGGTTTGGTTTCTCTGGAGGGCGAAATTGACAAAAGCATGTTTGTGTGACCCTAGATGTCAAATGTCGTAAATTTACTTCTACGGCTGTACTGAGCTGAACTGAGTATACTGCTGCTGAATAAGCACATGCATATATTCCTAATAAAAAAATCTGTAAATTTACATTGTAAGGTCCGAAATTAAAGTTTTATATCTTTCTCCTTGGTTCACAAAAATTTTAGACCAAACATCAAGCAGGGGGCCATCATGAAAGGCCTACAAAACCTGTGATGTACATTTGTACAATGTATACTGTGCATTCAGCAGAACATCTCATTCAAGGTCGTATCCACAAATGTAAGGATAACATCCTGTCCGTGCTTTTAAAACTTCAGATGCAACATTGACCAAACATTCAAAGAAAATCCAGGATTGACATAGGCACAGTACGTTCTCCCTATAACCTTGGTTCTCCCAGTGCACTTATATGATCAGCTTAACATGGATGATAGAAGGCAGCTATTGGAACCAATGAACAATGAGATGGGAGGGGCTGAGTATTAGGGGAACACTTTTCTCATTTTCCAGCTGACCTAAGGCCACACTAATTTTTTTTTTTTGGTTTGCAGATTTGCCCCCCTTTTTTTTCTGATTTGCGAAAAAAAAAAATTCAGACTATGAGTCAACTCCAAAATGCTCATTATTGTGGCCCCAAAAGTTGAAGGAAGTTCCTTCTCTTCAGAGTGGTGTAGTGTACAAACAAATGTACCCTGCAGAAACCACATTTAATAAAACAGCCTCCAGTTCAATTCTGGACTTCCAGTATAATTCCAGACAACCTCCCATATCTCAGCAACCTTAAACCCAGATGGGCTAATATTGCAAACCATTAGGTAAAAATGATGTAAGAAATATGTAGCAGCTATTCGCGACCCCCTGGGGGTTCGTCAAATTATTTTACGTATTATAACCCTTGAGCATTATGCATAATTATGCATAACCCCTCAAAGCATTATGCATAATTATGCACAATTATGCATAATTATGTATAATTATGCACAATTGCACGAACCCCCAGGGGGCCACGAATAGCTGCTACATATTTCTTACATCATTTTTACCTATGGTTTGCGTTATTAGCCCATCTGGGTTTAAGGTTGCTGAGATATGGGAGGTTGTCCGGAATTAAACTGGAAGTCCAGAATTAAACTGGAGGCTGTTATAAGGTCCTGGCACTCTTACTGATTGGGGAGTGGACTTGTTTTCTACAAATATTGGGATTGTGAATCAGGGCAAAATATGAGCATTTTGCAGTTGATTCTTAATTTTTTTTGTTTTTTTGTTTGCAGATCAGACAAAAATGAAGCGGGCAAATCCGTTAACCAAGAAATTAAATTAGTGTGGCCTTATTTGGGTTTACAAGCACTGGGGGTTTCAGAACACTGAAAAGCACTGTCTGGGTCATGGGAATTGTTACGGACATGGGGTATGAAAAAGGTTGATATGGAACAGTATTTTTGGAATGGGGAGGAAGAATGGGTGAAATATGCTGTATTTGCTCCCAAGTAAATGTTTCTAGTTTGAAATTAAATTTTACCCCTTCACACTATAAGGGCTGCCGGGCTAGGCAGAATGAGCTGAAATGTTAGCTGAAAATTCTTTGTATATTCCTAGCTATTTAAAGTGTATTCTGAACATTCTGGATCACTCCACCTCTAGGGTGAAGGGGGCTTTACATGTATGTAGTGTTTTCCAGTCATTAAAGATGAAATTTAACTGCAATTAACACATATCAGTTGGCTGAACTTAATACAAATAGTACATTCAAAAAGCAAGTTTTAAGGTTATTTTCCATCAAGCCTCCTGCGATGCTGTCCACCTTTGCTTGCACCGAAGGCAGGAGTTCCCAGACAAATATGTTGTGCACGTACTACATCCTAAACAGCAAGATATCTCGCTTCCCGGCTCCCAGGGACAAAGGGTGGCTCATAATCTCTACATGCCTCCACAATCAAAACCACATAATCAAATTCTTTCCACTCAATCATCATAAAGCGGCCTTCATAGCTCCGTATGGAGCCGGAAAATTCAGCCCCTAGGGATCAATTTTGTGAGGTTTTGAGGCATGGCCACGTACTTGTGGACAAGGACCACGGCTAAGCACTCTTGCTTGTGTATAGAGAGCCGGTTATCTATGGCGTGCAGTGGGGATGTAACTGCTGCTTCTTTTGTGGTGCCCACTTGTGTTCCAGCTCTCCCCCGGGACCAGCAATCAACAATGAGCCGCGAGGTAATAATTGGATTCTAATCCTCCTGTTTTGTAAATGCCGGTCTCCTCAGGGGAAGGCTGACCAAACGATGGAGCCAATCGAGAGCTGCCGCTGCCGGTGGCTGAGAATGGAAGACAGCCCCAGCTGCTAGGTGGGCACATTTCTACTGGAGCTTTAGTTTAGAAGCTATACATAATACATGCAGGTACAGGTCTATGCCTTGAAGCGGGAAAGCTGGTTGTACTGACATCCAAGCAAGGCCACAAGACAGAGGAGGGTAGAAACAATCTATTGGAAACGGGGTTACACCTTAATCCTGGCCTGGAGGGGACGCAAGGGAGCACACTTCATGTGGACATCAAGTTAGAATGCAACGCTCCAGCCACAGATTCAGGCCTTAAAACAGAACCAGTTGTAAACTGTAGAACTAAGGTCCTTCCTGTACACCAGAAGGGAAAAACTGCAATATTTGTGGAAAACAGAAGGCTGCACGTCAATCAAGAATTCAAAGTGCATAGTATAAAAGCTGTTGCTCTCTGTATGGGCCTTTAGAAAGAAAAACTAAATTTTGGACTTGAAGGCCCCCATACAAATTTGAAGTGAATATTTTCTACAGGAAGTGGGAAAAACATTCTACCATTTAACTTTTGTCTACAAGGGAACAATAACCTGCTTTGAGGGTTATTTTTGCTGAAGAGTTTAAAAGACACTGTGCATGCACCTGTGCAGTGAACCTATAGCTTGGACCATGGAGTTAAATGTGCCTCCATGCTTGGACACTGTAGGCTAGTGATTTACACTGTAGGACAGGCCAACAAGGCAAGATAAGGCAGCACAAAAGGTGAGAAAAAACAATGAAGTTTCAGGCAAATTTTTATTAGACCCTGCTCATGCCAGACTTTACATAACCAGTTGAATTTACTAAGCGTGGATAGCCCAGTTACATAAAGGCAATAATTTTATTGCATTCATACATTGTACCAGGCTTTACATGTATGTAATCAGCTCTGTCAGTGAAATCCTGTCAGAAATCATATCTGGCTATTTGGCCTTGATTGCTGTTGGTAGGTTGGGGGATGTCTCCTTATTGTTCCTCCTGCCAATTGTGTTCCTAATGGCCATTTTGTATGCCGTCTTCAGGTTCTTTATTATTATACTGCAGTGTTTCTCTGCTGTCTTGGAAAAATCATAGAAAGGAGCTCAGATAGACCTTGCTCCCACAACTTGATTGCAATTTTGCACTACACATTTTGGTTTTGGTACAGCTCCCCCAATTTCTCTACAAATGCACATCTCTTGCTTTCCAGAAACTAAATGGATATACTTGTATATAAGGAGCCTGACCTCAACCGTCAATTAGGTTGTGTATACTGATTCCTGATCGCAACTTGAAGAAAAATCCTCACAGGGCCACATCAATTTAATTTCTTGGTTAACGGACTAGCCCGCTTCATTTTTTTCTGATTTCCAAATAAAAATAAAAATTCAGAATCGACTGCAAAATGCTCATATTTTGTTGAAACAGTTAAAAACAGTCCTTTTCATCCTAGTTGTTACAGTTATTACATCTTTCAATGTAATGGTATCATTAACAGTTCAAAATTCATTGTTTAAATTTTGAACCAGCCTGGTGTGTTGACTTCATGGCTCCTACCGTACCATTTTGGACAATAATAGGATGCCTATAGGCCTGTTTTTATTTTTATTTTTTTCGCCCGCCCGCTCCACTATTTTTCTAGAAAAATCCGTTTACCAAGAAATTAAATTGATGTGGCCTAATGTGGTTGTTGAAGAACCATATACATGTACATACGTATCATATCATGTTCTTTGCTTTGTACTTTGTATGTTAATAGTGTATTTTGATTGTTGAGAATCTTACATATGTTGTTAATATTGTAAATATGTAATCTGTATGTCTGCGGGGGAGACTACGTGTACAGGTGAGCAATCACCTGTTTTGTCTCCCCCTCCATCTTGCTATGGCAAATCCAAATAAAGAACCAGTTAAAACCCTTAAAGAACCAGGTGATACATGTTCACACCGGGCTAAATTCAACTGGTTTATTCCGGCTAATGAATTCGATCAGTTTTGTGAAGTCTGGTATGAACAGGGCAGGGCTCATCAACATCTTGTTTGCAAATTTTGTGCCCCTAGCATGTCTAGATCACGAGATATCAAAACCAAGATCAGCTGCAGTACCATAACAAGTCACCAGGGGGCCCAGAATCTAATCATTCTGAGGTCTTATCAAGACCTATCTATCTACCAAATATCAAGACAATCCATTGAAGCCTTCTTGAGTTATCGTGTTAACACACACACACACACACACACACACACACACACATGAACACACACACATAAACACACACACACGAACACACACACATGAACACACACACACACACGAACACACACACACATGAACACACACACATACACACGAACACACACATGCGCGAAGGTAATTACCACGTTGTAGTAGCTGTTGACTGTTTAGTGTCCGTAGGTCATGTACATACTATAAATGTATGTACCGTATATACCTGTACCCCCGGTAACAACATTGCAGTTTCTAAAGAAATTTGTCACCTCCTTTTAATTCTGTTAGAGTATATCATTTAACATGTAACAAATCCTTTAATGATAGTATTATTGCTATGTGCCTAATGATCTAGTGTCCATGCATAGTATACATGTATATTGCCCATTGTAAGAATGTCAAGTTTGAAAAAGTGCAACTTTCATACCACAGCATCATCGTTATCCAAACATTCAAAAACTGCCATAGATTGTATTACATAACATTGTACATTGTACATGTAGTACAATTTTTTGGACTGGAAGTGGAAAAATATGAAACTTGAAAAATTAGCCAAGCGCAACACACTGATACACCCTGATGTTGAAGAAGCCGATAACAAAGTAAAACCACATCCATACATTGTACCTGATTATCTCAATGAAAATCTCTCATTCACCTGAGTTTGTGGGCCAAGCACTATTTGTTTTTCAAGCCATCCAGTGTTTTACTCTTTGGCTACTGTTTTACTTTAATATATGTTGTGATATCATTTACATGTATCTTACTGCAGGATATCAACATCTTTCTATGACTTTCTTACAGAACCTGTCGGTAAGAAGTGAGAGACTTGCTTCCTCTGCTTACACCAGGACCCTGTTTGTAGCCTTGAACTGTTCTAAAGGTCTTCGCACCCTTGACAGAAGTTTTCTTCCCACACGGATACACTGCTGTTATCTGTCGCGATGAAGTTGTACTGCATGGCCTTGCTAATTGCCTGTTAGAAGGAGTCTGCCCACAGATGCCCGACCCTGCCCGGAGTGGAACAAACCAGAAGCCCCCAGCCCAGCCGCAGGGTGTGGTCCCTGCCAACTGCCCGAATATGTGTACGTGCGACCCCAGGGACCAGTCTATCACCTGCAAGCGGGAGGGGTTCACCGCAGTTCCCGCTGAGATTCCGAACCAGGTGGTCACGTTGCGTCTTGTGCAGGACAAGATCAGCATCGTCAATCGGAAAGACTTTGCCGGTCTGACCAGGCTGAACTACCTGAACATGAACAACAACCAAATCACAAGCATCGCACCCGGGTCCTTCCGAGACCTGATTCGTCTGAATGGGCTGAGGTTATCGGGGAACCGACTGCAGCTGTTGCCGCGGGGTGTTTTTCAGGGGCTGGCCAACCTGACCAAACTGCACGTGGATGGCAACCAGCTGGTGTTACTGATTGATAACTTGTTTCAGGACCTGACATCACTGGAAGTGTTGGACATCAGTAGCAACCCCATTGTTTTTGTATCACCCAGAGCCTTCTACGGACTGGTGTCCCTACGGCAACTTTTCATGACAGGTGAGACTTGTACTGTATGTATGTACAAATTCTAGGGAAGTATCAATATTTCCGACACGAGACATGACAAGAGTCAAAGTGGACTCACCACATTTTTATTCTATGTTCTATATACACAGTTTGCCAGTTAATTAGGAGATTTCTGCTACTTCACAAATGAGGGCAGATCTTTATTAAGAAGTCTCGTACTCAACAAGTTGCCATGCCAAACCGCATCAGCAGGGATCAACGTTTTCTTTTGCAACTTATAAAGGGCCTGCAAGCCCTTTTTCGTAAGGCGTAATCAGGCCGTTTTAGGCTTCGTAATTTGTAGGCAGCCTCTGCAAAGATCATCGTACATGTAATTCGTAATTTGACATTAGCCGCAAATCGTAAAGTCGTAATCAGCTCTGAGACTTTAACGTAATTCGTAATAGGCGGCGAAAATTTTAATTTTTGGCGTAATTCTTAATCACTACCCCCCTTGCAGGCCGTCCTTATAACCTGTACATCTGGTAGGTCTCCATCACAACACAGTGTCACGTAGTTATGAACTTCTATCTAACCTAGCGCAAGGATGCGCGTTGGAAGTCAAAATGCCAACCAAAACCGATAAATTTTCCTATGGTTGAATTTCGCAACCGTTGAAAATAATGTTGAATACAGTAGTTCCACACTGCTGTCGGCTGCGCTCGGTAGTATCTGATGTCCAACATTTGGAACAACAAATCACCGACCCTTTTCCACGTCTGCATTCTGTTGAAAACCTAATTTTTCTCAGAACCAGGCACCCCTTTCTCTGACTCCCTTTTTTGAATAGTACAACCCATCATACTCCTTAACAACAGTAAAGGCCATAAAACCCTACCATTTTCACACATGCGGTGGGTGTCTAGAGGCTATCAGCTTCTTTTATTTTGACGCCCGAAAACAAATACAAAATTAAGAGGAGAAAGCGCATCATCTGCACCCCAATAACAAAACGTACATGTATATATTGAGTTCCAGAGAAATCTGTCCACCCCACTGTGAGATACAGCTGCAAGCATACAAACGTTGACCACTAAGTTAAACTTAACCCTTCCGCAGAAGGATGTCTCCTTCCCCGGAGGCAAAAATACAATGGTTAACTTACCATACATGTACATTGTGAAATAATTCTATTGTAAAATGGAATATTTCAGATCACACTTGAAATCAGTTGTAGAAGAAAGTATGTGAGCCTGACAGTCTCCCTGCATGCCTATTCCCTCCATACAGGTAACAACCTTACAGCGATGCCCAGCAAGGCATTCTACTACATCCAGAACCTGAAGTGGCTGACATTCCAACAGATGCCTGCAATGGCTGTCACAAGCGACACTTTCCAGTACCTCCCACTTCTACAGAACCTGGACCTCAGCAGGTTGGTACAAGTCTAGCCTGACTACATGTACATCATGCTTCCACTGGTCAAGCCTACATGTAGAAGTCAAGGGCCAATTCACATAGAACACCCTCCAGTTTAATTTGGGACTTCCAGTTTAATTTGGGACTGGCCTCCCATATCTCCACAACTGTACATCCAATTGGGCTAATATCGCTAACTGAAAGTAAAATTGATGTTATAAATACGTAGCAGCCATTGATAACCCCCTAGGGATTAATCCAAAAAGCAAAATTATGCATAATTATGCATAATTATGCATAAGGTTCAAAGGGTTATGCATAATTATGCATAAGGTTCAAAGGCTATGTATAATTATGCATAAGGGTTCCATAAGGTTAGCAGGGTTATGCATAATCATGCATATTATTAAGGGTTCCAAACCTTATGCATAAGGTGGAAAGAGCTATGCATAATTATGCATAATTATGTCCCAAATTAAACTGGAAGTCCCAATTAACTGGAGGGTGTTATAGGACAAAAAAAAATAATTTGTCCTGTATCGAAACACAGTGCCATGGGACAATTTTTAGAGTATAAACAGGGGATCCCTTCCAGTACATGTATGTCCCAGTGCTGCAGGACCTGGCCATCAGCAGGTTGGCACCGGTGGCGGTGGATAATTTTCAACTGTCTCCAGAGGAAGAGATACAAAAAACAAAATTTAATGTATGTTTGTGTTCGATTTGATTTCTGGCATTGTCTGACATATACCAGCAAATACAGATGTACATGTAGAACAGTAGAACAGAGTGCTTTTGTAGAGAGAGTAGAGCGCCATGCTGCCTTCTACTGTTTCCAAAGATGTTAACCCCAAGAAGAAGTCTGGAGGTAAAAAACCAAACTCTTAAACAGACAGATCATAGACTGTCTCTACAAATTAAGATATGCGACTGAAAATTATGATGAACCCTTGAAACTCTTTCATCACTTATTTACTGCACTGAAGAGCACCGCTGTCATGAAATGATTAGGGCACACACAGTAAACGTCTCATTTTTCCAAACATGTCTGTGACAGGTCGTACAGCCTAAGCTCCATCTCTGATGACGGTCTGAACCAGATGAACCTCAGCATGCTGATCCTCAACAACTGCAACTTCTCGGCAGTCCCTAGCAATGCCTTCTCTGGCCTGGAAAATCTCCTCATCCTACAGCTCTCGTACAACCCCATCTATGAGATTCAGCCGTACGCCTTTAAGAACCTGACCAGTCTTCAGGAGCTCATGCTGGACAACATGCAGCTGCGCTTTGTCAACAGGAGTGCCTTTCGTGGCCTGCCTAACCTACAGACACTTAACATCACTTACAACAAGTAAGTACTTACCAAGGCCTGCTCAACCTACAAAAATGTATACAGACGCTGGATATCACATAGGAACCACAAGTCAAAATTTTGAAAAATTAGGAATATTAAAATTTGTGTCATAAATAATTAACATCATTAAAGGTACAAAGTCATGAAACTCTAGTTGTCAACTAGAGTTCCATGACTTTGTACCTTTAATGATGTTAATTATTTATGACACAAATTTACTAGAGTTCCATGACTTTGTACCTTTAATGATGTTAATTATTTATGACACAAATTTTAATATTCCTAATTTTTCCAAATTTTGACTTGTGGTTCCTATGGTTATGTGTCCATTACAGCATGGGTCTTGTGTACAGCATTTGGGTCTTTAAAAATGTATTACAGGATTCTTATATACATGTACATACACCATACGCATTTATACAGTGGATGATGGTGATGATGATGATGATACGCATATCTCTTATATGTAAGCATCCAAATGCTGTAGGTCTGGGTTTTTTTTGCCTGTCCACTTTATGAAGTGAAAACCTGAGAACCAAGAAATCAACCAGTATTAGAGAAATCAACCTGTATTAGAAGCTTTTCTGCATGTGCTCACAATTCTAAAGGTACACGTACCCCATCCATCAGATCTTGGCTTGGCTGTATACCACACTGGAGCCAAAATGATAAATAAATGAATAAGAAAGTTTGGCAAGGATAAATTATCAGTCTTTCCGTAGACCATGCTTTAGTTGTGATCCAAGCAGGTATCTGCAAAGCTATGATAAGGGCAATTGAGTAAGGGAAGATAGAAGCTATTTTCACACAGTTATTACTTGCCATATTGCTGCACAATAAAGTGCTGGGATTAACTCTTTAATCCACACCATTCATCCAGATTACCATCCTGACGTCAACACAGCTTAGAACTTTTTTTCTTCTTGTTAAAAACAAAATTGATTAACTGACTGGATGGAACTATATTATCTGATGTTGTTAACTCTCCTCTCATGTCAGTCATGTCACTTTTCTACCCCTATCTCAAAGACTAGCCCTCTGTGATAGCATGTGTTGGACAGCCTTGTCCTTATGAAGTACAGAAGCAAACATAACAAAAATAATTAACCATTATTAATCTCTCATCGATCCAGATTAGCGTATTTACGTCAGAGTAGCTTCGACTCCAACCCGTCTGTTGTCAAGCTGTGCATGGAGGGGAACCCGTGGGACTGTGGCAGCTGTGACATGCGGTGGTTGGACTTTATACCTGACTGGTTTGTTTGTTTATAAGATTCCCATTTGTTTGTATATGGTAAAGTAAACTTCACACTAGTATATAATCTGATGGCTTGGGAACTGCTATGCGAGATAGGAACATCTGGGCTGCCAAGATGGTTTGGGGGCCAGTGGAGACTTTAAAAGTTTGTTAATTTAAAAGCTAATTTTTCTGGAGACTTCAGAGATGTCAAAGATTCATACAATTCTAATTATAGCTACAGTAATCTTACACACTACAAATATGTTAATGCAGTTGCAACTACACTACATAATATATATAATATGAAGATTTGGCAAGAAATTTATCATACATTATTCCTCATCAGGTCATCATTATCACTAAGGCCACACCAATTTAATTTGTTGGTTCATGGATTCACCCACTTCGCTTTTTTTTGCCCTGTCGCTTCATATTTTTTTCTGAAAAAATCTGAGAACCCATAAATCAAATTGGTGTGGCCTAATGTAGCAAACCTGCAGGAGGTCAAAGACATAGACATTACAGAATGATACAATTCTGATTCATCAACTTAGGCCATGTTGATTTGATTATATGGATGACATCCGCGCGCGCATGAATTTTCGGCCGTTTCCAAAAAAAAAAGGTTTTCAACCATACTGTTAATCGTACAAAACAGTTGCAAAATGAGCAAAAATATACCATAAGTTACCAAAAAATTAATAAAAACTATACCAATGTTGTAGAATGCCAAAATCAAACGAAAAAAGACGAAATTGTAAAGAAATGAACTTGAAGACTAGATTATAGGCCAAACCATATTCTGTGCCGTTTGTTCAACCCTCATGACCAGGTAGATTTCATAATGAAAACAACTTTTTTTTTGCAAAACATTTTTCTTATTCGCACGCGCGCATCAGTTTTGGGGCTCCCGGAGGATGTCATCCATATAATCAAATCAACATGGCCTTAGGTTTAAATAGTTTCTTAAGCCACAGCAAATCTGCATTCCTGATTGGCTGAGGGAAGATGGCTGGGTTCAAACTTACATGTACATTTTAACACTGATATTCAGTTGCACTATTATAATGCAGTTTTGCCAAGTCATCTGTCAATCATCACAAAGTAACCTGTTGATTGTGATTCATGATAGGTGCACAAACAATGTCACCTGCATCAACCCTCCCAACCTGAAGAACCAGAACCTCCTCGACTACATCCCCAGGCTGAAGATGGACACAAGTAGGTGCATAAAGCCAGAAGTCACCATCAGGCAGGGGGGATACGTCTGCTTTCCTGAACGGAGCACGGCCGTGTTACATTGCAACGCCTCGGGGAGCCCCGAACCCTCCATCATATGGATTGGGCCAGATAGAACTATACTGAGAGCACCATCTCTGGTTTCCAACATGGCCGTGTCGGAATTTGGTACGTTACGGATATACCGCATATCCCCCTCCCACGAGGGAACATACTCGTGTATGGCACACAATGTTGTGGGGAACAAAACTGCATATATAGACGTCACAGTGGAACCCATGACCACATTAGCACCCACACCTAGTCCTCCAACAGTCAAGGATAACTCCAGTGCATCAGCTGGAGCCCAATTAGACAACAAAACCACTCTGACGACAATACTGGCCAGCTTTATGGGCTGTTTTTCCTTCTTCGGTGTTGTTCTACTGTGTTGTTTTATATTCAGTGTCTGGTCCAGGGGAAAGAACTACAAGCAGGACGGTATTGAAATGACGTACGTTCCCAACAGGCAGCCAGAGAACAATGTGAACATGATCCCCAACCCCCGGAAAGAAAACAATGCTGCGCGAGTTCGGATGGACATGAAATTCAGCCGGATATGACTAGCAGAGGAGGAGGTTGAGGAACTGCAAGATGTGGTATGAAGTCGACATACCTGTGAAAACTGTATTCTGGCAAGAAACGTAACACTCAGTCAGATGTCAGGAGTGACAGATCAGATGAAGATACCTCAGGAAATGGAAACTAAGGGTTCATATCTGACAGGCCGTCAGGTATGGTGCAGGTTAACTCTTCTACGAGCCAGGAATATAACCGAAGATTTGAGATTGAGATGTAAGGTAGTTACATGTACCTACTACGTGCATGGGAAAGACAAGGCAGGATATTTGACCAGCTCCAGGTACATGTAAGAACGAGGCACTCAGCAACCCGGCTGGGTGAACATTCTCAACTTCCTCCATAGCAACACAAAATGACTGTATGTGTAAGGAAATTTTTAATAGAGGTACAAGGAAATAGCTAGACTGAATGTGGCAGCACTTTGCATGCTGGTTCAGTGATTTATCCCTTATCACAGATAGCTTGGTACAGTGGCAGTGTGTGTACAAAGCTGTTCTCTAACTCTACCTACTGCACTATCCCTGCAGAGGACACTCATCACACTCAATCATTCTGCAGAAGTGCAGGAATATGCACACTTTCATGTGTCTTCAAATCATCCTATTTTTCCTACAATCTGGAGAAGGTAGATGGCAGTAAAACATGGTCCAATTTTCTTTGAAGATTTTGATACAGCAGTAGGTCTATTAGCAGTTTACATGTACACTGTATTCCTTAAATTTGGTTTGAGCACAGACTGAACTGAAGATGGACGGAAGAACACCGGGATGATGCATACATGTATGTATGACACTATCTGCTACCAGCTGTAAAGGCCCTGGAGAAGCTGTGATGTAGAACCTAATCTGCAGGCAATGTTGTGTTTTCCTGGGAAAAGGATGATCATTCAATGGATCTGCTGCCATGTTACATACAGTTGCAGGCTGCTGCCCAACTCACCTTACAGGAGTTTGGCTTGCAGCATGTCTGTTCAGCAGGAGGCAAAACATCACCACGTAGGAGTGAAAACTTCTCCGATTGCTTTTGTTGCCTTTAAGGAAATTAATGTTGATCGCGATCTTGAGTTCCCGAGATGCATCAACTGAATAAATCCATCACAAGACCCAATCTCTACTGCGATGGGAACATCATAAACTGTTCATCAACCTGCTCCATCTCCCTCTGCTGCTTCTACTCATTGCAGAAATTCAGGTTCAGAACTGATCAAGATTCTTACATGAAAGGAATGTCAACATGTCTCTGTTTCCAATATGGAGCTTCAGCACAAGGGGGTTCGCGAGGAAATGGAAAGTCCAAAATGCACGTGTGATGTTTGCAACCCACCCAAAAGACAATCCACAGTTTACAAGGAATAGTCCCCTATATGAGACTGTAAAAAGGCTTGTCATGTACAAGCATACATTGTACATGTACAACTGTTGGGATGGCATTGGCACAGTAGGCAATCAGGCATGTTATTAGAGATTTGGGTTTAGGAAGTCTAATGTTGCTTCAACGCCACAATCGTGTCAGGCAAAGAGTGCATCAGGTACAAAAAAAATGTACATCTGGAAGCCCCAAAACTTTCCTGATCCAACCATCACCTTTGGGGTGAAAATGGATATTTTGCAGCACAGCAATATCTGGCAGTAAGCCTTCTGATAGCTTCTCCAACACATTTGCACCCCGGAAGATTGTACAAGTGATCACAAAGGGTATCAGCATGAAATCAGTCTCTGACTACCATCTCCAGCAGAAATGGCCGTAGGGGGAACACGCTTGCTGACTGCAGCACCCGTTCATGTGTAATAAATCCATGTGCACGGATCTGATGGAAGGTAATGGATTCTCAATGCTGGGAAGGCGTGCAATGTCAACCAGATCTGCGGGAGATTCATGCCAGTGCCCTGTGATAGATGCCTTCTCAGACCAGCACTGACAGGCTGAACATTTTACCCATTGAATGACACCAATGTAAGCACTATGGTTACATGCAACATTCTTCATAGAGACACACTGGGTAGACATATAATCATGCACATGTATGTGTTAAGTTTATTGAACATCTTCAACACCAGTGGTCAGTTTCAACATCACTTCAGTATTGGGAAACTCTCTTGGTTGCTCTGTGATTTAAAATTGTGTCCAGTTTCATAAGAATGAATATCAGAAGCTACATGTAGACATAGTTGTTGCTTGAGGTATGCTTTTCTTGGTCACAGTGAGTGTTATTTGGTGTATTGTATATTGTAACTCAATATTGTACTTAACATTTCTCATTTACAACATGTATATACACGACTTGATATCTTGCTGTTATAAATTCCCTTCTTGCTAAGTTTTATATTTCTATGTAGATTATTTTGTATTATCTTTGTATACATGTAGATTATTCCCATGGATTGCTCTACTGTTCCTCAACAATATTGCTATGTAACACCTTTCAAAAAAGGAAACACTATATTCTGAGGGTCTGCCCTCACTTGACTTTTGCCATTTGAATCTGCGCTGCCAGTACTACAGGTTTGTCCGTGGGCCGCACCCCCTCAACCTTTTCACCCAGAAAACGGCCCCAGCTATCCAGATAACGACTCCGGAATGCAATTTTTTGCCACATTTTTATAAACAAAGCAATAAAAGTGGAATAGGTTCGCCTCCCCTTTGTGACCCTGTCAGAAAGATGTATCCAGCGAGCGTCTTACCCGGGCTGACGCGGCAGGTTTGACGAGATAGGGAATGCGGGGTCGCCGGGTCAACAGGCTGGTAAGTAATGTACGACAGGATTCAGGGTCGTTCCTAACACACCGGGGAAACTTTGGCCACTTGTGAATATCCCTACAAAAGACAGGATATTGAGCGCCTGGGGCATTATTATAGGGCTGGGACACAATGTATAATAAACAGAGGGGATACTGGGCATAAAGTCACCACATATACATGTATTATGCCAAGTTTTTTTTTCATAACTGCAATGGGCCTGCCAGTGGCTACAATATAGACAAGCTGCAGTAAGTGCTACAGTTGGGACCATTGATACTGAACTTGAATTCTAGCCCTTGCAATGTATGTACATGTATATGTAGATGCAGCAACATAGTTTCAAAGATCTTAATAAGGGCCCTCGGGAAAGCACTTAAGCACTCTACAAAAGAGAGGAACCCTTGAAAGATGTTCCCCATCCGTCATAAAAGGCAATGATTGAATTATAGATAGGTAACAGCAGACTTGATATCAGTGCAGTTGGTGCCTCTTGCAGCCTGTCCAACATGAAATAATCATCGCATCAGTCATGCTTCAACATTCATGTACTCATCTCATTTATCCAGTGTTCTAGCCAGTGTCTGTCTTTCCGTCATATGATGGAATTTTTCTGCTCATGTCGAATCGTTTCAAAATTCATTAAACCAATTTATCTTAGCAGTGTGAATGCTCCAAATCAAATACATTTTCTCCGAAACAATTCCAAACAAACCACCTTAAGCTTGAGGAGGTACACATGTACATTTTATACAGTTCAAGATTCAGCCGAAACTGTGAGTGTCTTGGTTTCTGACTTGCATTCCTGGTGTAATGCCGTGTCTAATATGCAGTGTACATGTACATGAGAAAACGACCTTCTGTGATGCTATGGATATACATTGTACAATGTATTATCTATCAAAATTAATATGAATAGAAATCACACATGGTGCAGATTCGCAGCAGCTCCATGCAAACATATTCAAGATGGCAGGCTCCCGTCACATGATTCCTCCATCCTTTTGACGTAATTCGGATTGGAAGAGCAGAGTGAACGCATTTGACAATCTGGATACTAGGTAATTTCTTATTAAGCCACACCAATTTAATTAGTTGGTTCTTGGATTTTTTCAGAAAAATTATGAAGCAATGGGGCGACAAAAAAAGAAAATAAAAACAGGCCTAGGCATCCTATGATAGCCCCAATGCTATTTCAGGAGCCATGAAGTCAACATACCAGGCCAGTTTGTAATTCAAACAATGCATTTCATACTTTTAATTAAAGCAATGCATTGATAGATGGAAAAACTTTAACAACTGAAAGAGATGGGACTTCCTTCAATTTTTGGGGCCAAAATATAAGCGTTTTGGAGTTAATTCAGAGCCTGAATTTTTTTTTTCAAATCAGAAAATAATGAAGTGGGCAAATCTGAGAACCAAAAAATTAAATTGATGCTGAAACTGAATAATTTGTGTGAGTGGGTGCCAGAAGCCTGCTGGGTTAGAGGAATAACTCCCAGTGACCGAAAAATTGCCTGGGGCACTTAACCGAAGTCCCAAGGAACCTGCTATTTTATGGCATATCAGTTTAGTGCCAGGGCTTAGTGATGGAAACTGAATCCTAAAAACAGGAAAAGACTTTTGAAACATCTTTAATGCATGACGACTATGCTTGAAATTCTACCAAATGGGATCGAGTGTAGGCTTACTCTTCCTTGGGTTCCATCATTTATCTATGAGATCAGGCCAGTGTATATACATGTACGTCTGGATAAGTAAGTCTGTAGATAAAAACTCAATTGTTCATGAATGTTACATCTAATTTAGTGCTGCATGCAAAAAAAGACTATTGGGAAGACCAGTAAATTAAAGCTGTCTTTTTGCTAAGTATCTACCAAAACATCAGGTATTCCACTGCATACAGAAATGAAACCCAATAATCATTTTAGTGTGACACGCAGTTGAGGATTTTCAATTCACTATTACAATACCTTATCATGAAAGTTCATCTGTGTTGGTAGCAATCATAGTAAAACGTTGAACTTTACCGAGATATCAAATTTTCAGCGACCACTGTCGCCTTCATCAGGATAATTGATGACCAATCCCTTCACAACATGATCTCGCGAGAGTTACAGTTACAAATACGTGACGTTATTCACACAAGACTTTACTGATACGTCATGTGAGCAATTGATCAAAGGTGTCAGGGAGTTTATATCATTATCATAATACCTTACTTATTATTTCTAATGTACATTTGCAATTTGCAAAAAGATATTAGCCTTTGGGCATGGATTTACAACTATAGCATATAATTTTTGTCATACTTTCTGTTTTGCCACAATAAATTTCTTGTAATGATCCATTTAATTCATCTTATCTGTTTGGCTGGGAAACACATGTACAGTCAGGGCAACACAGTTGGCGGCTATCACTATTCCTTCTTGAAATTCTTAACATCAGCTGCATTGGATGGCAGAATGGAATAGAGGGGGGCAATCAGCTTTTGTATCTGTGGGAAACACTGTTATTTTATATCCAATCTGAGTTTTCCTTCATAGCTAAAATAGATACAAATAAAATATTCAGATTCAGATATATCAGCTGTACATGTATACAATCAAACCTGTATAGTGATCAATTCCACCCAGCAGGGCCATGTGGCCACTTTTTGATGGTCCCTAATATTGTAAAGATATTTTTCCTATTGTCACAAGCCTTTATTACATACTTACAATCATGTAGACCAGATTTTAATTGGCGCCTTGAGTGGTCTTCTAGCCGTGGGCATTTTTTACTGTTTTACATGAATCATTACCATTTAGGGGTTTTTCACTGTGAGTTGCTTGTCATTAAAGTTTTCTAATTCCTGGCAACGACTGCTATGTTGGATAACGGAGTGGTGAGAAGCCATCAGTTTGTGTGCCAAGTGTGGGAGTTTGTGACTCCCTCCTGTACTCGAGCCGGCCATGCGTGAAATGGGAACCTTGCAGACTGGGCGTTCTGATGGAAACTGCTCTAAAACATGTCCCTGTGAAGCGTAAGATGAGGACAGAAAATGGGAAAAGTGAAATGAAACTTTGGGGGAATGATTGGCAGGAGGCATGTCCACCCATCAATATACATGTGGGGCTCATAAATGTCCTCCAGGTGGATGCAGAGAGAAAAACTGATGATGCAGAACTGAGAAAAAGTCTAAACAACTTTCGCTTGAAAACTCTTTCTGTAACAGAACAACTTTAAAAAAAGGTCCGTATCAGACTTTCGTCAAACTAGTTTGAGTTCTAGGGATACTTTTAGGAAGCTCAGAAACCCAGAATTTTTAAAGGCATTTATTTTTATTTTTTGATTTTATCAAATTTAGACTGTCTAAGACGGTATAACAATTGGTCTCTGATGTTTTGATGTACTGTGTCATTTTTTGTGTTGGGCCTTACT